GCCAATCATAATAACAGTCCGACTGGCAATCCCTCTATTATGGTTAATGGAGGTAAGCCTATCAACACACGTACGGCATTAGTGAATGGTGTGATCACTTATTATTTATTTGTCTACTGTACAATGTAATGTCATAAACACAATAATCACATTAAGCTATTCATTAAGTTTTATGAATTCCTAATACAATGTGAACAGAAAAGGTTTTTCTGAGGAATATTTACTTTTATAAATAGTTGTCTTAAAAGAGATCTTAAACTTGAACTCTACTTTCATTGGCATTTCATTTAAAATAAAAAATCTAACTTTAATTGAGAGCACATACAGTACATACACACAAGAGAATTGTGTAATAAATCAAAAGCTATTGTACTGTATATTAGATTTTTTTGTGTTGACGCAAAATACTGGTAATGATAGCAAATAGAAAATAAGGTTATTAAACAATTCTTGTGAGACTAATAAGAAACTCAAATATAAAATACAATGCATTTGTTGAGACATTTATTTTTTAATTTAACTTTAATACTGACGACAAATTGAAGTCTAGTTTATTCACATAGTTTTCGCAGTGAAATATTTATAGTAATCTCTTTGACTAAGCCTTAAGCGTATGTCAACATTATTTGTCTATTAATGAATAGTAAATGATATTTTTAGACCAAATAATGAGAGAAATAATTATTGTTTTATTAAACATTAAAATTAATCCACATTTTGAAACAATTATAAAACTAATCAATAAAAATAGGTTATTATTTATGATGCCTGAAATCCAAGGATTAGAAATTGAATACTTTGTTGATGTACTAGTATAATTATACTAGTACAATTATATATAGAAAATAGTTTTTTATATGAAAGTGTATGACTTTTATATTTGACAGATGCGATGTTGAAAATGAATCCGACACTACTGTCCAAATCAATGACCAACTCATCATCAAATCATGCCCTCACGTCTACCCTCACGTCTACCCCTCCCATCACCGCAAACAACACGACAACTCCATTAGACAACCATAATCTCTTGACTCGGGAACAGTTGACTTCGACACCCATTAATAACAAATACAAATAAAACATATTAAGAAGTATTAGAGAAATGATTCGTACGTTTGAATACAAATTTTATTGTTTACACACAGAATATGGTTTACTTTTATTACTAGAGATTAACTTATATTATGAAGTATTCATACAATTCAATTCCAATTCTTATAGTATATCTTTGAACTTGTATTACAATTAAGTAAATAATTATATAATTATTATGAGATATATATCAAATTTATTATTTATTTTTCATATATTATTTTATTGAAATGTAGTTTAATTGTTAATATGTTTGAGAAATAAAATGAGAATTTATTTAATTTA